TATTTCTTCCTAATGGCTTGGGGGAACCCTCCCCCCAGAATTAAAAGAAACACAAGATTTTTTTGAAGCTTTGTCAGTGTGTACAGCGAGAGATATGGTTGTTAAATGCAGCCAGTGGGATTTGCAATGAATGTTTGCTGTCTGTCATTCCTACCCCCATGAATGTGAGTGTTGTCTGAGACGAAGGTCAGCAAACAGTGACACCTGTGATAAGTGCCATAGAAGATGACCACCCAAGGTTCAATGGGATGAAGAAGTATCTAAATGCGTTTTGGCAAGTCAAGGAAGTATTTGCAGTAGAAGAGACCTTCGAACTTGGGTTGTGCAAAGGCTCTGAGATGAAATGACCTCACAGGAGAATAAATAGATGGATATCATTAGAACATCAACAGTGACCATGGTGGTAGTAGGAAGAGAAACTGGCTAGGGACCTGGAGATCAGAACAATTAAGTCCTCAAATGCCAAATACCAAGCTAGAGTCTAGGGTTTTTTCTTTTCTTTTTTTTTTTTTTTTTGGTGGTGGTGGTGGTTTTTTCAGTATCAACAATCTAACTCAGAGGGCTTAGCCACTGAACTACATCCCTAAACCTTTTTACTTTTTATTTTGAGACAGGGTCTCACTAAGTTGTTGTGACTGACTTCCAACTTTCTATCCTCTTGCCTTAGTCTCTTGAGTCACTGGGATTACAGACATGTGCCACTGTGCCCAGCAAGAGTTCAGATTTGATCCTGTGACCAGAAATTATTATATATTAGATGAATATTCTGTCTTTCTTTGGGAAGAACAAGTTATTTTAATAGGTGGTATAAAATAATGTAAAATGATAACATTTCTTCTCAAAAAGCTTGGAAATTATTTTGGATACAAATAAGCTAATTCTTAAATAGCAGTTGAAAATTTTATAGTAATTTGACCAAAACGAAACAAAAAACAAAACATGAAAATTCATAGGTGTTACATACTTGGATTTCTCAATAACTTCCATTTTTATGAATGTCAAGGTATTTTATTTATTTATTTATTTTTTTTTGATGATACTGGAGATCAAACTTATGGTCTTGAATATGCGAGGCAAGCACTCTGCCTCTGAGCACATCCCCAGCTCTTCCATTCTTTTTCACATGTAGTTCTTTCAGGCAAATATCTGACTATCTTACTAAAGAGAAGCTTATTTGAGCTTTAAAGCTGTCTTGCTTGTGAATATTTTGTAGGAGTTTACTATGCTGCAGACATTGTGCTGAGCAAATTCTCGTGCAGCCAGGCGCAGTGGTCCATGCCTGTAATCCCAGCTACTCAGGAGACTGAGGCAGGACTGATTGCAAGTGCAGGGTCAGCCTGGGCAATTTAGCCAGACCTTGTCTCAAAATAAAAAAATAAACAGAGCTGAGCATGGGACTCAGTGGTTAAGCACCTCTGGGTTCAATCCCTGGTACCAAATAATCATAATAACAACAATAATAATAATAATAAAATAAAATAAATTTTAAAAATTACCCAGTTTCCTGCTTTTTCTTTT